CTGATGAATATTTTGTGTCTCATGAAAAAAAAATTTAGGAAGCATTTTTTTTTAATCTCACTGCATGACACTGACAGTCTAAATTGTAAACTTAAAAAAACAAAAACTGGTCTGGTAGCACTTTATAGACTAACAAAACATATAGATAGTATCATGAGCTTTCATGATCACAGAAAACGGACTACCTCTTTCCTTTTTTGCTGATGAATATTTTGTGTCTCATGAAAAAAAAATTTAGGAAGCATTTTTTTTTAATCTCACTGCATGACACTGACAGTCTAAATTGTAAACTTAAAAAAACAAAAACTGGTCTGGTAGCACTTTATAGACTAACAAAACATATAGATAGTATCATGAGCTTTCATGATCACAGAAAACGGACTACCTCTTTCCTTTTTTGCATCTCTTTCCTTTTACTATAGTTCATGTACTGTAACATTTCTCCTCTAGTCCCAATCCCTGTATATGAAAATCCAGGTATTTTAATAATTATATTTCTATAAGACTTGCTTGACTGCAAAGGGAACAAGGAAGTTAGTGCTGCCAGGCAAATGCAGATTTCATGCACATGGACAAATTAATGTAATGAAAAAATGAAGTGTTCTTTTCAGTCTGTGAGATTTCAGAGAGTGGCACTGGTGTAACACTGCCTTGTAGAGATGGAATAGAGAGATTAGGTCAAAAAACAGAGGTTAGAAACTTTTAATAAATAATATTAGTTGAGTGTTTATGTATAACAAGAGCAATAGAAAACTGAGATCAGGATCTGATCTAGAGGACTATTAGGTAAGAGGTTCTTTTGTTTTCATCAAACTAGCCTCCTTACTGCTTTAAGGGTGTTTTTGAGATTATATGGGGAACAGAGAATCATGACACCCAGATCCAGTTGGTCAAAGGTATTTAGGCTCCTAATTTCACTAAAAGGCACCTAAATACCTTTCAGGTTCAGGTTCCATTCAATGGCAGTTGGGTGCCTGTATTTTGAAAATCTCTCCATAAAATATTTTCATCATTGTTGTACAGAAGTTTTCAAGGAAAACATTTCTTAGTCTTGGGGGGACTCTTCCCTACTCTGCTCCCTCCCAAAAGAAAACAATATATCTCAGTGGAAGCAATCCTAGGTGGATTAATTTTATTTATTAAAAAGTCGGTTCAGGAGGAGGAGAATTCTGTAGGAAAGCGAAATAAAGCATGTGGTCTTCTCTATCGATAATTCCATTATAATGCTACTACACAGATGCTTAAAAAAATGGCTTTTAGCAACAAGGAGTCTGTCTGAAACTAGGTCTCACTGGCGGAGAAGATTGATGCAAGATATGCAGCTCCAGCTACATGAATTGCATAGCTGGAGTCGTCAAATCTTGCATCGATTTTCTGGGGCAGCCTCACCTTGGGACGTTGATGGGAGAAACTTTCCCATCGACTTCCCTTACTCCTTGAGACAGCAAACAGTTCTGGCACAAATTGGGGTGCCCTAAGCATTACAAGACCTGCTAAATTGAACCCAGACAGATCAATTGCTCTAGCATTCATCCTCTAGTAAATGGAAACTTGGCTGAGACCAAGTGCCAGACTCTTCAAATGCTAAAAATACTCAATAAGTCTTAGTTTGTGGGAGAACTTGCCACAAAGGGTCACACCAATAGTTCTGGATTCAAAATACCTTATTAGCTTGAGGTTCCAATGGCTTATTTAAGTCAGTGGAATCTTTGGATGAGGCCCAATGTGCTGTAGCTGAAACCGTGTAGGAAACACTAGATTTAAATGAAGGTGATGTCTGTTCCTCTTGATGTGTGCCTACAGCTTCCACTGAAGGTTAAAACACCTCCTTCAAGCTGAGAGGCTAGCTCTGTGGCAGTGTTGTAGGTATTTTTTTAATGAAGTTCCTTGGAAGACATAGCCTCCTTAGTAATAGATGGAATAGTTTATCCTGGTGCTTGAATTCACTAAATTGACTTGTGATGAAAGAGGTGAAATGTCAGGAATAATTATGACAAGTATCAGAGGGGTAGCCATGTTAGTCTGAATCTGCATAAACAATGAAGAAGTCCTGTGGCATCTTATAGACTAACGGATTTATTGGAGCATAAGTTTTTGTGGGCAAAGACCCATGCATCTGATGAAGTGGGTCTTTGCCCATGAAAGCTTATGCTCCAATAAATCTGTTAGTCTATAAAGTGCCACAGGACTTTTTGTTGTTTATGAGGAATAATTATGGTTATAGAAGAGATTTTTCTAATGAAGAGAAAAGATTATTAGTAAGTAAGCCTCTACAAAACTGGTCTTAATTCCACTCAGCTTTTCACAAGATAACCGCTATAAGAGAAGTAAAGGTTGCTTGATGGATGTCTGGAAAAATAGGTGAGCCACTGACATGTAGGTTTTGTTTTTATTTCCTTAGGAACTATTATAGAATGACTGGATACAGCCAGCTTTTTTCCTTAGAGATTTATATGCACTGTTGAGTCTAACTCTTTCCTTGCTGAAAGAACCTGTAATGTGCACTCAGTACAAGCACCCAGATTGCAAGCTCTAAAATAAATTAGTCAAATTCCCTGCTGGTGTGATTTTCTACCTTGTAGTAAATGGAGTTACTTAAGCAGAGAAATTGGCCTGATATGTGTGTCAGAGGTGGAACAAAGTTTTAGAGTTAAATACAGATTTAGCCCAAGCTTTTGTTTGGGGGGATGTTGGAGGTATGTGTAGTGTTTCCATCTGAAATTCATCTTGATGAGATTTAAATAGCCTATTCCTAGCTCTGCTGACTTGCAGTCATCTCAAGAGAATGTGACACTGAAAGAGGCTGAAGCTGTCTTTTGTTCTCGGATCTTGGGAACTCTCTTCTGCTCAGCTTTCTTTACCACATCCCTTGTCCTATTGTAGCCGAGTGCCCAATGCACGATAATGCCACATAAACTCATTGAATGGCTCAATTTCATTGACTTCCTTTGCATTTCCTACAACATTCGTTATGGGCTTAATCCTGCTCCCGCTCTCCCCTGTTTCACCACTTTGGGTTAGTGGCATAGTGACAACTTAGTCTTCATTGCTTTCATATCCTTTGCCCCCATTCAGATGTGGGTTAATGTATTGTGTGTTTCCATCGCCAACTTTTTTTTTCACATCCTCTGGCTCGCTCAGAAACAGTGTGGTGCACATCATGTGTTATTGGACATTAGTAAGTTCTTCCAGAGCTAGAGTCATAATATTATCAATGGAGAGGAATGGCTGCAGGAAATAACACTAAAGGACCATTTGTTCACATTAGATGGCCAAGGTAGAAAAATGGATCCATTTTACAGTGACAATAATGACTGAGTTACTTTTTCTTCAGTTAACCCACTGTCCCTTCCCCTCTGGTGTTCATTTACATGACCTCTGAACCACAAATCTCAGCAGTCTATCTGACCGATGACCTTTGTTGTATTTAGGTGGCCCTGGTACAGTGGACTGAAAGTGTAGGCTTAACTCTAGTTGGCAGAGATCAATCCTCCATGCAACTGAGGACACCTGGTGGTCAAATACTAAACTTCACCATCCTACAGATCTTTCCGTTCACATATGAAAGCAAACGCATGGGAATCATTGTTAGGGTAAGTTGTTTAACATATTTCTTTTCATCTTCATGGAACTCTTGCAAAATTGAACTGAATAAATAAGTATAATATGTTTGATAGCAGCAATGTTATTCTTCGTGGAAGAATGTTACACAATCTCAGCAGAAAATAAAATATTTGTATATGTTGAAGTACTTGTCCTTCCCTTCCATCGCCCTGGAACAAAATGGTAAGTGAAGTGTATTTTCTTCAGCCACATTGTTCTTTCAACACAAACGCCAAAGGCCTGTGACAGTCCTTAGTTCATAAACAGTAGGAAAATAACAGCCACTGTTGAAAGTAACAGCAAAAAAGCACAAATCTCAATTCAGGAATCTCTAGCAAATAGCTGCAGAGTCACCCCTCAGCTACTAGATCGGGAATTCTAATAACTTATAACAGATCAACTAGAATCAGCAGATGTGATACTGAAAGTCAAATACCTTTAAGAAGGTACTTTCTGATTTGCTTCTCATTGAGAAGGAAACTGTCAAATAATCATTCTAGAATTATATTGTTTACACAATGTACATTAAACTGTAAAATAAACTAAGAAATGGGGCAATAATTAACAATTACTATGTGATTTCCTCACTTTGTTCTGTGCCCTTATGGCTTTTTTGATAAGCAGTTTTTGTGGAACAGAGGTTTCCTTGAAGTACGTGGTACATTGGCTTTCCCAAAGGAATTAGAGTAATCAGGTGCATTTGTGCATGAAAGTCTCTTATGTCTTCAATGACAGTAACTACATATACTAATTAGATATGCAATTATGTATGCATTTGCATACCTATTTCTTTATTATTGTTCTGTGTACTAATACAATGGAGGCTAGACTTTAAAAAAACATATTCAGCTAAAAAGGAACTTGTGCCAGAAACAGTGAAAATATGGTTATGTAGCTTTTTTTGTTTCTCTCCCCTCTTAAGCTATTAACGGCAATATTTCTCTTGATGCATGTTACCTACTGAAAACTGGTTAATCCATATTTTAACTTTTTCAAAACATTCTTAGCTCTTATCAAAGTGCATCATTGCTGTTTGTTTATTTTTATTTTGGTTGTGCCTAAGGACCCAATCAAGATGGGGCCCCACTATTAATCATCAGAAGCCTTGAAAAGAAAACTATCCCTCCCCATTTCACAGATGAGAAAATTGGTGCAGCATTGAACAGACTTTGCCAAGGTTTTAGCAGCAATGTTTTTTCAGCCAGGGCTAGATTTCTCTCAAGACTACATTCATTGTTAATGGATCTCCCCGTTCTTTAAATAAATAATGATTGAGGCCGTGTCTTAACTGCTAAAAAGATGTATTTTTTACTAACTCTCACAAACTATCTCGAGGTTAAAAACACAGTGAAGACAAGGCACTTCAGTTTTATCACCACTTATCTCATACATCTTTGGTATATTTTTTTTGTTTTTTTTACTTCTGGGTGACTATTACACACAAGCTATCTGGAGGATTAAAAAAAAACAACCTTCAGATGGTAGTATAGAGCTGACTTCATCTCTATATTGTGGTAAAACTATTACCCTGAGAGAGTTCATGTGAACTTAGTTATCCTAAAGTAATAAATGCATGGGCAGCTGGGGCTGAGGGAGGCAGGACTTCAGCCCCACCAATAGCCCTTCCTCCTCTGCTGAGGCCCCCAGGGAGAGGGGAGGAGGCGGAACAGAGTGCGAAGTGTGCCCACTCCCCAGGAGGGGAGGAGGTGGGGCAGCACCCCGGCCTCGTGGGGCATTGGGGGAGGGGAAAAGAGGCAAGAGAGCGCATGCATGCAGCGCGCCCCGCCTCTCCAGAGTACCATGGGAAGGGAAGAGGCTGTGCCATTCCTGGAGCACTGAGGGAAGGGAGGAGGCTATGTGGTGTGGCTCCAGGAGCACCAGGGGCAGGGAGGAGACCACACTGTTCCAGCCTCCCCAGCCTAGAGCACAGGGAAGGCAGGCACTGGGGGCAGCAACACTCTCTCCCCAAAACGCCTGTAGTAGGCATTCTGGGGGCAGAGTGGGAGCAGAACCAGGCTGGCCCTTTGGGAAGGCAAAGCCTTCCCCGCCTAAGCCACCAGACACCCATGAATAAGTGTACTTTTTTTTTAGGAGCAAGGACATGGCTTAGGAAGAACTTTGTACCTCTCTAGCATTATATCAGGTTAGAATGGCAAGACAAATCTTACTTGTATGTGTCGGCATGGATTTTAGGTTATCATTTTCCAGATGAGATTCTGCTATATACTTACATTATTTATGTTTATTCCATTGCCTCATGCATTATAGTTTTTTAAAGCAACACAGGAATGAGATGCTTTTGCAGATGCTATAGAGCAAGAAGAACTTGCAGTCTAAAATTGAATGATGGGGGAGAGGGTATAAAACAAAAAGCTAAGTGATTGATTGGAGAAACTTAACATGCATCTTATTCCCTATTTTCTATTGACATGCAAATGAAGATACAGTGTGGACTCATGATAGTGTCAATAAGTTGAGCTAAGCGATGTTGATAAAAGATTTATGCGGCACTATCAGTGTAGCAATGTCCCATCCCATTTCCTTTATGGGGTTTCAGACCTTGAATCAGCCACTGGTTCAGGACTCAGTGCTTCACATTCTGGGACATGGACCCTGGTACCTTTTGGGGGGCATAGAGGAGTGTAAGAAGGAACAAGCAAACTTTATCAGTTGTAAAAAACAAAACCCTGTATTTGAAATTGCTCCATATTTTGGAACAATAGAATAAGTCATAGGGGGAAAGACTGGTTGTCAGAATGCAAGGGTATGTCTACACTACCCTCCTAGTTCGAACTAGGGGAGTAATGTAGGCATACTGCACTTGCAAATGAAGCCCAGGATTTGAATTTCCCGGGCTTCATCTGCATAAGCGGGGAGCCGCCATTTTTAAAACCCCGCTCATTCGAACCCCGTGCAGCGCCGCTACACGGGGCACGAACTAGGTAGTTTGAACTAGGCTTCCTAGTTCAAACTACCGTTACTCCTCATTTCACGAGGAGTAACGGTCATCTGCTCATCTAGTTCGGATTAGGAATCCTAGTTCGAACCAGCGGGGTTTTAAAAATGGCGGCTCCCCGCTTATGCAGATGAAGCCCGGGAAATTCAAATCCTGGGCTTCATTTGCAAGTGCAGTATGCCTACATTACCCTCCTAGTTCGAACTAGCGGGGTAGTGTAGACATACCCCAAGTGAGGTAGTCAGAAGCACATAAGTACAGGGCTGTGTCTAGACTGAAGTTTATTGTGGCATATAAGATTACCTGCCCTATGGACAGGTGGCATATGTATGGATGCTGTGCAAGGAACTCCTGGCCTTTAGACTGTGTACAGACTTTGCAGACCAGGGAGGATGAATTGGAAGAGCTAAGAAAGGCAGAGAAGTTCACAGATGAGACTTTCTGGGACACAGTAGAATGGTCCTACCCAGTGTTCCATTTCAGGTATGTGCCTGCGCGGCGCCACACACACAATTCTAAGCCTGCCCACCACCTTCACAGAGCCATGTAGCAGCACTCACCTTCTTGCTGGACCTGGAAGGTGAGTGGTGTGACTCTACTACGGCTGGGGCGGCATGGTGGGCAGGTTGCTGCTGCACCGGGTTCAGAGTCACAGGCGGGTGGGTTGCTGTGCCGGGGAGTCAGAGCCGCTGGTGGGTGGGTTGCTGTGCCAGGGGTTGGGGCTTACGGGCAAGGGAGTTTGCAGCTATTGGGGGTTGGGGCCACAGACAGGTAGTTAGTTGCTACCAGGGATTGGGGCTGTGTGTGCAGGTGGGTTGCTGCTTCCGGGCGTTGGGACCAAAGGTGGGTGGACATGTTGTTGCACTGGGGGTTAGAGCTACAGCCACACAGTGGGCGGGCTGGTGGCTGTTGCTAGGATACTTAGGCCCCAGTTCTACCAGCACAGACTTCTATGCTCACACATTCATACTGATGTCCCTTTGCCTGTTGGCACCTTCCTTGATCATAGGTCTGATGAAATTTTTTTCATCCTTTTCTTACTCATTTGGAATTAGCCACTGCCAGAGGCAGGATGCCAGACTAGATGAACCATTCATTCATTTCTGCCTCTAAACAAGAAAATATCTGGGAGTCCCCAGCTAACCCTGGCTCCGCGTGGCATTTCAAAGCAGCAGCGCCTCATGGAGCCTGATGTCTGCAGGGGACTCTGAGTCCCCCACTGACCCCAGACTCCATGTGGGCACGTCTTCTTTGAACTGCACAAGAGCCCCCACTGAGGACTCTTGTAAATTTTGAAGCAGGCACACTGCATGCAGCCTGGGTCCAGCAGGAAGTCCTTCTGACTCCAGGCTCCAAGTGGGCATGTCCACTTTGAAATGCACAATTTGACTACTAAATTGACATTCGATTAGGAAACTAATCGATATTTAACATCCTTAGTATGGTGACTTGCCTGCCTGGTGCAAAGCTTGTGGATCTCTCAAGACATCTAGATAAACTTATGTATAGTGCCGGGGACATAGGGAAGGATAGGAGAGAAGTCTTGGAGGCCAAATTTAGACTGCTAGATAAGAAATTGAAATAATATGGAGGAACTAGAGTTCCTTGTATTGAATGAGGCTATTGATATAATAGGCATCACAGAAAGTTGGTGGAATGAGGATAATCAATGGGATACAGTAATACCAGGGTACAAAATATATTTGAAGGACAGAACAGGTTGTGCTGGTGGATGGGGGAGCGGCACTTTGTGTGAGAAAGTGTAGACTCAAATGAAGTAAAAATCTTAAATAAACCGAACTGTTCCAAAGAATCTCTATGAATAGTAATTCCATGCTCTAATAAATAAGAATATAGCAATAATGATATAGTCCTGACCATCTGATCAGGATGATGATAGTGACTGTGACTTGTAAGGGAGATTAGAGAGGCTATAAAAATAAAAAACCTCAATAATAACGAGAGATTTCAACTATCCCATGTATTGCCTGGGTACATGTCTTCTCGGGACAGGCTGTAGAGATAAAGTTTCTT